ACCCCGCGCACGTGCTCTGCCGCCGCGCTCCCGCGCATGCGCGCTCCACCGGCCTCGGCGCCGCCATTTTGTCCGCGGGCGGCGGGCGTGAGGGGCACCCCTGAGGGGCGCCCAGACAGCGCTGCCGGAGCGGAGAGCGGGAGAAAACCCTCCACCGGGGCGGTTCAGCACGGAGGAGCCCCGGAGAAGCACTCTGGGACCGCGCTGAAGGGCTGTGCGAGCCCCACCGCGAGCAAGCGGCGCCGCCGCCATCTTACCTCGCTGCCGCCGCGGCCTCCGCGCTGCCGCGCCGTGSGCCCGCCCCGCCGCCTCACTGGACAGCCCGCCAGCCAATCAGCGGCGGGCGCAGGGGCGGTACCGCGCGCGATTGGCTGGGCCAGCAGTCACTCACGCGGAGAGAGGCCACGCCCTCCTGGGGTCACGTGGGGGCGGCGCGGCGGGAACGCGACACGTGGGCGCGGCGGGACCGGGGGGTTCTGGGGGGGTCCCGGGTGTTCGCCGGTCCCGGAATCGGGAGACTGGGGGAACCGGGGCTGATCTTCTGCTCCGGGACACAGTAGGCCCGGTTTTGTCCCAAAGCACCAGCATTGAACCCCCTTGGCAGCACGCGGTCCCCTCCCGGTTTCCCAAACCGGCCACGAACCTCCCCACCGGGAAGGGCAGAGCTCCAAGAGTGGCTCCAAAAGAGGGAGGGGAAGCAAGAGATAGGCCTTGCCCAAATCATGAAATCTAAGAATGATCCCAAAACTGGACCAAATTGGTCCCCAAATCCTTGGAGGGGAGTTTGGCAACAGCAATTCCTTCTAAAGACAAGCTAGATGTGGMTCAAGAGTTTCCCAAAACCATCCAGAGACCACTGTTTATTGAAGGCTGGAAAAGTCAAGTCTAAGAAGGAAGGGAATAGGGCTTTCCCAAATATYCAACCCAAAYCCCAGCAGGTCCCCTGGCCCTGGGCTGAGSTTGCAGTAGAAGTTGCTTCCAGCTCAGCTGGGAACAGCAATGTGCCAATGTAATTCCCTGGAAGAGGTCACCCCGGGCATGGTGACTGCAGGACCAGCCTGGCACTTTCTCATCCCACACCCCACAGGGAATGTGCCCCCAAAGTACCCCCATTCTCCCAGGATTTCCAGTGGAAATCCTGGGATGTGCAGGAAGGGAGCAAGGGATGGAGACCACATCCCAAACCAGAACAGGTCCAGGGGCACCAAAACAGGACCYGTGGTAGGGAGAACAGCTCCCCATCATCTGGGATTCCCTCAGCCCCCCACATCCCTCCATCCCCCAAAAAATGAACACCAGCACCTCCAATTGGAACAACCCCAAAAGCCCCCACTGGGCTCTGCCCCAGCCCCTCARAATTAAAAGGAACCAAACCACTAAGATATAAGTTAATGCTTAAATTATTTGTAAAACATCTTAAATTTTCTGTGACATATTTTAAATATCCCCCATGTTCCCCAGAGGGGGGGTCAAAGCCCAACACTAACTGGGAGCCTATGGGGGAAAGGGAGGAATAGAGAAAGGGTTCCTTATCCTTTCACAGCTTTAACAACTAAATATCAATAATAAAAGTTATATTATAATAAAATAAGTTCTTCGTGAGGCAGTGGAGATCAAAAAGCCCTTAGAAAAGCCCCACAGGTTTGGGCTCGGGCTCTGGACTCAGTAGTAAAAAGGGGGTTATTTGGGGAGGGGAGGCAGCGGGGGAGGCGGTTCCGAGGGCAGAGGGGGCGGTCGGGGCTTGTCCGTGTTGGTGGCAGCTCTGGAGCTGCTGGAAGCCCGGGGGTTCAGGAGCTCGTACGAATGGAATTCGAAGGCGGGGGGCTGGGTGGGCTGCATGCCCTGCGCGCTCAGCAGCGAGTGCAGCATGTTCACCGTGTCCTGATAGTCACTGGCCTGGCTGGCGTTGTGCCCGTTGGCCCCCGAAGGCCCCTTGTCCGATTTGTGGCTACCCCGAGCTTTGCCAGCCTGGGATAAATCCGAGCCGTGCCCGGRGAGATGCGCAGCCCCGGGAAGGTGGGCGTACGGGAACGGCACTCCGGGGCCTTTGGAGACTTTGCCCACCTTGGGCTGGTGCTCGTGGGCCATGGCCGGGGACTCTTCAGGGGGGGGTCTTTTGCGGGTGGGGGCGAGAGGCCCGTAGCCCTTATGGGGGGTGGCGGGGGCACCGGTTTGGGCGCCGTGTTTGGAGTCCCCCGGGCGCTTGGCCGCGGTGCTGGGGCCGGCGCCGAGCTGGGCGTGCAAGTGTTTGTGCGAGTGGTGGTTGTGATGGTGGTGGTGGTGGTTGGACGAGTGGCCCTTGTGCTTCTCTTTGTACTCCCGGCTCTTCCCGCCGCTCTCGTCCGCCGAGGCGTGTCTATCTCCAGGACCCGGTACTTTAATCCGCATCTTGATCTCCTCCTGCTTGGAGGGGATCGGCCTCTCCCCGCCTCCACCCACCGCCGGGATCCTCATCTTGAGCGCTTTGTCGCCCTTCTCGGTGCCGGGCGGGCGCTCGGGGTTCTCCTGCCCCGCGATGGGGATTTTCAGGATGATCGGGGAGGGRTTGCTGTCCTGCTGCCCTTCCCTCTCCCGCTGCTGCTGGACCAGGAGATTCTGAGCGGCGTAGGCGTACTGGGAGCGTACGTTGGCTTCCATATTTTCCAGCTGCCGTTTCTGCGCCGCCAGTTCCTCGGCRTGTTTGGCCCGGTACTCCTTGAGGGACACCTTGGCCGAGGGCGCGTTCTTGGTGTTCTGCTTCGGGTAGGTGGCACCGTCCTGCTGAGGGTGCTCAGCRGCCGAGGAGCTCTCGCTAGTCCTGTGGATGTCCAGCTTGGCCGGGGGATGCCAATGATCCGCCTGGGATGTGTCAGCAGCGCTCGGCTCGCCGGGGGAATCGGCCGCGGCCGGGAGCGCTGGCCCCGCTCCGGCGGTGGAGGATGTGGACATGCTCATGAGCCCGGCGATGTTCATGTCYGAGCTGTTGTTCCTGGAGATCATGTTGAGGATTGTCTGCTCTGACAGGCTCTCGTCGTCGCCGTGGTCATCAGTCTTGGATTTCCTGGCTGCTTGAGAGGCCTGGAATGGAACAAATCAGRGGGTGTTTACTTGGGATGTCGCTGGAGCTGGTTTAGTTCAAGCAGCTCACCAAGACAGTGCGAGGTTTTCTTTACAGACAGATCCAATTTGCTCTCGTCCCTCATGGGAAAATTCCCAACCACTGCTAATGCAGCTGGAAAACTGAAGTTCTGTACAAATTAATTACAATAGATGAACTTGAGCACCACAAAGGACCCCAATTCCAGACACAACTCACTGCCCTGCACTGAGATTGTGGGAACGTTCCTAACCCCTGGAAGCAGGGCTGCTAATGCAGCTGGAAAACTCAAGTTCTGCACAAGTTAATTACAAATCCCAAAGGAATCACAACCCGTGTCCAAGTTTCTTACCCGCCAGTTCCGGATCCGCTTCAGCCGGCTGGGAGTTTTCTCAAGGATCTGCAGGAATTCATGGGTCAGTTCTGCAGAGGAGACACAAAGCCAAGCGGGAGGGTCAGAGCAGCCCCGGTCYGTCAGGACAACCCCCTCATCTGACAGATGGAGCTACTGGTGGGATGGAGCTGCTYAAGGAGGGGAATTCTGACAACTGCAATCACTGAGCCATCATCTAAACTCATTTCTCTGTGGTGCTACAGAAGCTGCTGCTGCCCTGGAAAAACCTCAGTAAGCCCTGAACTCCTGGAGCCCGTGAGGTGGTGTTGGAACATCAGACCCAGGACCAGCGATACCGAAATAATTCAAGAGCCTTCTGCAGGGGAAAAAAACCTCGCTTCCCAAACTTACCATCTAAGAGCTCCAGAGTTACAGTGCCATCAACGTATTCCCACCAGTGCTTCCCGTCCGTGGAGACTGGGATCTCCCAGTTGGACCACTTACAGGCCAGGTGGA